GAGAAGGCTGGCTCTTCAAATGGACTAATTATATCAAAGGCTACCAGCGGCGGTGGTTCGTGCTGAGCAACGGGCTCCTGAGCTACTACAGGTAACTGCTTCCGGGGCGCTGTCCCCCCACCGCAGCCCTCAGTCCCCGCACGGCAGCCAAGGTCGCCCCAGGCCCCTTTCGTCACCTGCGCGGGTTGACAGCCCGCGACACGAGCCCACCGTCACGGAGAGTGCACGCCCCGGGACTTACCCCCCTGCCTGGGCCCCCATCCGCGCTGCCACACCTTCCCCCTCGGCCCTTGGCCTTTGCATGTGTGAAGAGCATCCCTTCTTCCATTACGTTTCCACCAGCACATGGGTGCAAAGATTGATTCTGCAAGGAAGGCGCTGTTGTAGGTGCCCAGGGGCACATATGGGAGTGCAAAGCCCAGGCACTGCTCCCAAGGTTTAGCTGTCTGTGCCAGGTCTCCAGATTTCAAGGTTATTAGCAGCCCTTGATGAACCCGCCTTTGCTCCCTCCACGTCCAGGCACAAGGACACCGTGCACAGGGTGGCCTCCATCTAGCCCCCCCCTTCCTTCTCTCTCCAGGACTTGGGTATGCTTTCTCCTGGACAGCTCAGAATGGAGAGGTGCACTCCAGTGCTGCTTTTATTTTTGCTTGCCCCACCGCCTCCCATGGGAATGATTAGGTCTTCTATCCAGTAGTATTTCTGGGCTGTCTGGTTAGTGTGGTTTCAGTTTATTAAAAGAAGACTCAGTGTCTTTGCTATGAGTACTTCTGTTCAACAGTGTGTGTTTGGAATGTTTAATATATACTTATGGTGACTTACAATCTTGCCATAACATGTTTTTGGCTACTCATGCTCCTATAGATAAGAGGGGTTAAGATACTGGATTTGGGGACAGGACTTAAAAACTTTCTGAGGGCCAGACAGTTTGGATAGGTGTTTTGTGTACGGTATTTGTTGACTCCCAACAACCCTGGGAATTAGGAAATATGCCCATCTTCCTGATGAGGAAACCAAGACTTAGCTTGGGCAACCTTCCCAAAGTCTTGAGGAGTCAGGATTTGAAACTAGTTCTGTTCACACCAACATAACCTAAAACCCAGGTTCCTGTTACATGAATCAGATACAGAGATAATTAAGTATCAATAGCAACTAAGTTTAGAGCTCATGGTTTCTATGTTTCTTTTATACAAAATGTATAAAAGTCTCCTTTAAGGGAGACTTTGCTTAGTATGATGACATTTCTAATTGAAATCTTTTTATGAAGATCATCCTATTTAGGACACAAAATGCTGTTGTTAAGAGCAGCTCACTCTGTTTCTTTTCCTCTGCTGTGGTCACTCTGCCACCAGGAGAGTTAGGGTGAACGAATCTCTTCCATTAACTCTATTGTATTGGCTCTTAGAGCATTTTGAGGGGGAACTGAAGGTGGGAGCTGGAGGTTTAGTTGGAGTTAGGAACAGTAGAAAATGCCTTAGTGCATCCTCACTGCTTAAGTGACATTAATTGTGATCAGTTGTGTATATCATTTGCATTATTATATTCAGAATTAATTTTAATTTTAACCTCTTCTAATTACTTATCCAGGACTTTAAGGTTTGATCAAATATCAAAAATTTAGTCTGCTCCTAAGCTTTTTCCCTACTCAAGTTTATGTTTATCTTTTGAACTGACCATCAGCCCTGGCCAGTGCGGCTCAGTTGATTGAGCATTGTCCCGTGAACCAAGGGGTCACTGGTTCGATTCCTGGTCAGGGCACATACCCAGGTTGTGGGTTCAATCCCCGGTTTGGGTGCAACTGTGCGGATGGCAACCAATCGATGTCTCTCTCTCCCTCTCTCCCTCTCTCTCGCTCTCGCTTCCTCTCTCTCTAAAATCAATAAAAACATATTAAAAAATAAGTAACTAAACTGACCATCATTCTAATGTTCAGTCGATTCGTATCCTTACTTGGCTTACTTGGCTTGTAAGTCACTATTAACACTGATTCCCTATTTTCAATAGTTGTATATCAACCAAGGGTCTTAATGTACAATCATTTTCCCTCATCCAAGTTCTTATATCCACTTTCCAGGCCAGTTAATTCTTTGGTCAGTACCAGTCTTGATCAATATTGATCTTGATTGGACATTAACTTATATGTTGTTTTCTCTTCGAGTACTTGTAGCCACTTGTGACTTCTCTCTTACAAGAGCTAGTGGTACCTGTCTGACCACAGATAAAACTCCTTCCAAAACATACCAAACCACATGCTGGGAAATATGCCATGGGCCTGCCCTTGCCGTCTAAGATAGTCCCACCCACAAACCAACCAAGCAACAGGACCCAGAGTTACCAAGTCTATGCCCTACCCTCAAAATCACATTGAAGTACTTCCGACCAACTATGTCGGTAGTTTATTCTTCCTAAAAGTGTTCTTCCGGTCCCCATGTGCCTAGAATTGCTTAGCTAAGTTGTCATTCTTGCTTTTCATGCCTCCAGAACCTGTTATTTTCTATACATGCTTTTTAAAAAATACTGTTTTCTTTTTAACTGAGATGTACCTCCTAGACCCATCCCCTGATGAGCTGTGCTAACAGGCTTGGCCACACCCCTTCCCTCTTTTTATGTACCCTGTTCTTCCTTATATACCCAGTTACACAGATGGCAGTTACTTAAAACCACATGCAGAATCCCAGCTCTCCCAGACCCATCATGACAGGCCCATGGTATTAGTTTTCCTGGCCAGCCTCTGGAGATGGAGTTACTGTTTCAGCTGGCCTTTTCAGGGAGGAAATTTCTAGCCAGAAATACCACCTAATACTATAGTGCATGAAGAACTTACCTTGCACCCTGAAAATCATTTTTTTCCCGGCTTCTATACTAATCATTTATAACCATTGGTGTATTTGCCCAAACCCAAGAGCCCTGAGGTCAAGCCTGCCTTACTCCCAGGGTCCCTTTGTATTTTTAAAACTGCTACAGATGTTATGATTTGAGAACTTTCTTTAGTTCATGAAGATAAACAGGCAGAAGAGATCCCTGGGAGGTGATTTGTGAAAAGCACCAACACATTGTGAGGAATGTGGTAGAAGGTCCAAGTAGCACCTCTGGAGCAGAAAGCAGGGGTGAGCGCCATCCGCTGTGGGTGTGTAATTCCGTCTGCATTGTTCATAATGTAACCGAAGCTCTGGGTAGGGGGAGGGGAGGGAAGAATAGAAAAAACAGGGATTCACGTTACAGTGTGACAGGTGCAGGGCATAGAAAGTGGCCCAGTCCGTTGAGACCCCCCAGCCGTCCCAGCCTGCTCATTTGTGCATTTGAGGATGCAAACCAGTTTCATGTGACAGACTGAACAATAGCAAGTCTGTCTTGCTAAGCACAGTAAACCAACTTTCTCAAACATACCGAGTCACTTTCTGGGGACAGGCGTATGTCCTTTCTGGCATGCAGAGTTTCTGGATGTGCCAGGTATGTTTGGCCACTTGGTTCCAGTGACAGGGAAGTGGCTCTGCTTTGCACTGTGGCAGTTGGCAAAGGACTTTGACCTCTTGGTCAGGGAAAACCGAGTTCTCAACACGCAGGTCCCTGGGCATAGCCGGCAGGTGGTGGGGAAATGAGCACAGTTTGCACTGTGCACCCAATTGTGCCAGCAGCTTGGTAGCTCACGTAAGTCTCTTGTAGCTTGTTGTCACCAAGCATTGCTGTAAAGTTCAAAAGCTAGTCTATGAATAGAACTGTCAATCAGGAGAGATGGGGGAAAATTTTACACCCAGCCCTGTGAGAACAGATTTGCTGAATCTCTCCTGGCTATTAATAGGATGGCTTAGGAGTTGCCACCAATAGAGGTCAGTGGACCTTAGGAAAGAACTCAGTCCAGAAAGATTAGACCACCTGGTGATTCTTTTATGATTATTTTGTCTCTTCTCCCACAGAAAACTAGTTCTTCCTGTTTCATATCACTTGAGCTGTAGTCAATAGTTAATACTTCAAACATCTACGTGTGCTCTACACTTCTGCAGTACAGTCCTGAGCAGAGTGAGACAGGTCGTGTTTGGGCTGAGTTCCGGTTGGGGGCAGGGATTGTTCAGTATATGTAAACAGAGCTGTTCTTTCTCTCAAGGAATAAGACTGTTTTACGAAATTTTGTTGCACGAGTTTATAAAGCACTATTTTATAATTATAGCTTTCTAAATAAGTAATTCCTCACTGCGAGAGGGCACAAGGGAACTTTTGGGGGTGATGGAAATATTCTGCATTTTGATTTGGAGGTGGTTGCACAGTGATACACATTTGTCAGGACCCACTGAATCGCACACTTAAAATTGCTGAATTTATAGTTTGTTTTATACTTCAGCAAAGCATCTTTTTAAATAGCTAAGGGTGAGAGGACCAGCAGAGCAAAACAATCTGACTCAGAAACAACATTTAGGCTTTGAAAGGAAATCCCTACTGACTATTTCTTTAATTTTAGGGACCCATTTGAGGGAAATATTAGAATTTACTCATTCCTAAGACCACTGTATTTTCAAAGGGGTTAGAGTTATGAAGAGAAATGGAATTTGATCAAGGACAGGCCACCCATTAGCTTTCTACTTAGCGTATGTCTGCCTCGTTATTGCAGGTCAAAGGCAGAAATGAGACATACCTGCCGTGGTACCATCAACCTGGCCACAGCCAACATCACTGTGGAGGACTCTTGCAACTTCATCATCTCCAATGGGGGTGCCCAGACCTACCACCTGAAGGCCAGCTCGGAAGTGGAGCGGCAGCGCTGGGTGACGGCCCTGGAACTGGCCAAGGCCAAGGCTGTGAAGATGCTGGCAGAATCGGGTAGGGAGCAAAGAACACTGTGTCTGGGAAACTTTCCATTTGCCCGGCTTACACACAAATCTTATTTTATCCCGATTGTCATTTAATTATCAACTATGGCCTAGATGTCTCGGGCTTCTCCTCACCATGCAGTATTTATCCTGGAGTGGCGGTTTTCAGCCAAGGCCAGTTCTGCCTCACAGGGGACATTCGGCAATGTCTGGAGCCATCTTTTCTCGTCCCAGCTGAGGGGTGGTGGTGCTGCTGGTCTGTCATGAGCAGGGGCCAGGGAGGCCACTGCACCTCCTGTGATGCAGAGGACAGCCACCCAAAACAAGGAGTTATCTGGCCAAATGTCAGTAGTGCTGAGGTTGAGGTTTATGCCCTATGGGCATCAACAGTTGTCCTTTGGCTTTTATTGCCAATTGACTACCTTCAGATTTTGAGAAATAATTATGTTATTGCTAGATCAGTCTTAGAATTATTACAACTCACAATTTGGATATACCCTTAGTTTTTTCTTTTCTCCTGACACCTCCTTACTTAACTATTTGTTAGTGGAGTTGAAACAGTCTCTGTAGACTGTCAAAAGCATTTTATGTGATTTTTTCTATGAAACATCTTCATTTTGCTACCTTAGTTTCTACTGAAAAAGAGCAATCTAATTATGTTTGGATTTTTTGTCAAGGAAGATGGTAGGATTTCCCCCCTAAGTGTTGGTAGTTTAAGCGTACTGAGCTTGTTCATTTGGACTGACCAAGATGGTCACCGGCTGACCTTTGTTCATCTGCTGTTTTCTTGCCCTCTGTCATTTCTAGTACCGTTCTTATTATCTTTTGAGCAGTGAAGGAAAATTCACTGCTTTGTAAACTTTTTGGTAACAGGTTATGTTTTCACTTTGGCCCTGCCTTTCTGCCTAGCAGATGGGTCAGGTCTTTCCTTATTTCTCTTGTTTTGATTTTAGTGCTGATATT